AATTTTACCATAAATACCGTGAACACTTGAAGTGACCTATATCTGGTTTCTGTGTGTCACATTTCTTCTTAGCTTATTTAGTAAATATTTATAATATTTAGTTTAATCCAGAGGTTACAATAATATAATTTGAAAGAGAATCTTTAGGTTTTTCCTTCTAAATTCAGATTATAAGACAGTTTATTATTCTAAATTATAATATTTATTACTTACTTTGAAATAGTGCCTCTAAAGTATAAAAAGCATCTTGGCCCAAGTTTTATATAATCTGAAAACTCTTATATGTCTTAGTGTCTTTTGTATCACATTCATTAATCTGAAACTTAGAAATGTTACTAGTCAGAACTTTTTTAGATGTAAATGACAGAAACCCACCTCAACTAAACAGGTAAAAAGGAAATTGGTTGAAATAAACTAGGCTATCTTACAGCCGGAGAAGAATCTAGCAACTAAACTGAGGGAAATGGCAGCTAGAATTCAGGAACAAATGGAATTAGAAATTCGTGACTTTAGGACACTTTGTGTAAAGCATGCAGGCTTTATCCTTTTGTTACAGGCTGGCTTCCTCTATGGCAGGAAATATGGCTGCCACACACCCTGAAGCCTCATGTTCCTTGGGTTCTGCTACTGGGAACAGATCCTCTAACATAGCCATAGCAATAGCAGCAAATAGATTGCCAAGCATGGTTTCTAAATGTTTTGCTTCTTTTAACCCATTTAATGATTTTATGAACCCTCCGCAGTGGATATTAATGTTATGAACAAATTTACAGATGAAGCATGAGGAAATTAAGAAACCTGACTATAGTTGCAGGGCTTAGTGACAGAGCTGGGGTTTGAACCCCAGGCAGTCTGGTACCTACCAGACCTGACAGCTACCATATATCGTATTCTTTGAAATCAGAGGATGGAGAGGTTCTGTTTGTTGGGATTTTGGCTAAAGAGTTAAACTATGTAAGAGAAGGATATGGTTTTGATTTATTTGTTTACCCTTATTAAAAAGATATGACAACTGATATAACAAACTGTTGAACTGTTTTCAGATCTTTGGAAAAATTCCGTGAGTTTTATTTATTTATTTAAGGAATCTGTACACCCAACGTGGGGCTTCAACTCCTAACCCTGAGGTCAAGAGTCTAATGCTCCTCCGACTGAGCCACCCTAGCACCCTGAATTCCGTGAGTTTTTGTTCAAAGAGACACGCATAGTGTGGTTTGCCTACATAGATTTTTCTTGAGTGCTCTATGGTAAAGAAACTTTCTGCATTGGACCCCAGTTGTACTACATTCAGTGTTCTCAACCAGGGATGATTCCCTCTGGGTACATTTGATAATATCTTGAGTCATTTTTGGTTGTCAAAACTCGTGTGTTGGATTACTGGTGGCCTCTAGTACATATTAGGCCCAGGATGTTGCTAAAGGTCCTACCGTGTGAGACAGACCTCTCTCCACGAAAGAATTACCCAGCCCCAGATGTTAATAGTACTGAGGTTGAGAAACCTGTACTAGATAAGCTGAGCCACTTTTGATTTAAGTGTCTGGGTTTGGGATGAAGAGATAAGAAATTCTAATTTTTGAGTACTTGTTGAGGGGATTAAGGTCACATTAGGCTAGGGTACCTTGAAAGAAGGACCAAATAGTGGAAGAAGTTTATGGAGGGGGGTGTAGGAAAATGGAGCAGACAGACTTGGCCAATTTTGAATATTTTCCTTGAGGATCGACTGTATGCTAAGTAAAAAGGTAAGGAAACCTAATCTCCCTTCCTCCTGTACCTGATGATGATATCATAAGACTGATTTTAGGATAGCATTTCAGCAATATTCTTGACAAAAATGGGGAAACATTGGCTTTGTCATTTACTCTGATTTTATGATATTGAAATTCATTAATAAATTGAAGACTGGTTTATATTAAAGAAGTAGAGCTATTACAATTTGTTTAAAAGTGATTTTGTAATTTTAGGGTTGTAGTTACAATAGCCAACATTTATTGCATGCTTTCTGTGTGCCAGACACTGTTCTAAGTTAGAGCTTAATCTCATCGAACTCTCCTAATAATCCTTTAAAATAGTTTCTATGGTATGTATATTTTACTGATGAAGAAAATGAGTCCCAGAAAGGTAAACTAGCATCCTCAAGGTTTGACAGCCTGTCAGCTAGAGGTGGAATTCTGGTTTGATTCCATAGAAGTACACTCTTTAACACCAGATGATGTGCTGCCTTTTCCCTCTTAAAGACAATTTCAGTCCTTTCTTGTGCTTATTTTCCAAGTGTAATTGAAATTTTGATACCATTAGGTAATTCTTTGTATATTTGGTCTCAGTTCTTGTTGGTAAAGGAATTTATATATGTTTGGAAACAGATATTCCATGTATATGTGAAAGCTTTTAAAAATTAAAGCTGTGAAATACTCTATTTCCAAATGGTTCCAAAGGGAAAAAACAACTCTTGAATAAATTTGGTAACCAATTTGAGGTCTTATTTGGGTGTGATTTTGGGAAAATGCTTATATTTTCCCTGTATAAAAAAGCCTAGAATTAAACTTTTTACAGTGTATAAGATAATTAAGATGAAATATTTCCCTCTTAGTTTTACTCTGTTTATCCATGCGTAAGACATTGTACGAAATCTTTCCAGTGAAATTCTGTGTAATAAGGATTTTAATATCAAAAATAAGATAGATTCTGACCTCTCATTGGAGGAATAATGTTTTAAAAGAGAGAGGACTTTTCAGTGTTTATCATTTGTGAGTAAATTTAACATTTGTGAATTTAGCATTTGTGAATAAATTTTAACATTTTCTAAGAAGTATGTGTGTCAATCTGCCACACTTTGACCTATAAAGCAAATAACTGTTATGCATATACTATTACTTCCTCTTTGGGAAGCTCAAAGTTAGATAACGTATGCCACTGTCCAGGGCGTAGGTGGAGGAAGGGAGGGGAATGGACAGCACAGATGGCCAGAAGTCCTAACTCTTTTCAGATTGTCTGTAATGGGGGTGAGTAATAAGATGTCTTCTTTCACTGATAAAAAATATTTTTACTTTTATGCTTTGTTTCATTTACATTTGCTAGCAGTTCCATATTTGGAGAAAAAAACAATTGAAACTGGGAGAGGGGAAGGTGTGGTGTGCCTGTGCTATCTATCATAGTCTGCCTTCCCTATAGTTACTGCCACTTCACAGTTTAAGCCTGGTTTCCTGGATGTTCCTGACACCTCCTTCCACCTTCATCCTCACTGATTCATGGCAAATTTGGGGGCAAGATTTATGCCAGTGCCTTAATTTTTACTGTTTTTCCTCTGCAAACTTACTAAGTTCTGGTGGTTGCTGGCTCGCTTTTGCTTGTTTGCTGTGTTAACTTCCAAGTTATATATTTTGTATGTTTGTGTATAGTTGATATTGTTGAATTATCAGTCTTTGAGTTAAATAATGAAAAATCTGATTAATTTTAGGAGTATAGAAGATGTAAGAAATACTGGTTTATGTGTGGTAAAACTTCTTAAATGGGTCATCAGTTGATAATTCCCTTCAGTCTTTAATGGTTAAATGTGGTTTGAATACTGTCTTCCTAGTATTCCCAATAGGGTTTGGTTCTGCAAGGAGGAAAATATCCCTATTACTTAAAAATAATAGTTTCAGTTTTTACTTATTTGAGAGATCTATTTTTGATGTTAATTTAAGTTGAGAATATATGCCTCAAACATTTTAAAGGAGTAACACTAGCATAGATATTAATCAAATGTAAATATTGCAAGTTATATGTAAAAATATCTTTTTTCCATTCTTGCTTTATGTAACTTTTTTGATATGTGGAAAAGAGGGAAAGGGCTCTAAACTCAGAGCCAAATGTGCTTTTGTTGTTCCAAATTTTCAATGCCAGAAGTATATAAACCTGCACCTGTTGGTAATTATGAGCAAGCCAGCCTTTGCCGAATCCCAGGCCTCTGCTTAAAATTTTTTTTACTGGAACTAAATGATGTTGCCATTTTTATTTTTAGGTTTGCTGGCATGGGTAATCTCATTAAGGTGCTAACCAGGGACATAGACCACAATGCAGCACATTTTTTCTTGGACTTTGAAAGTAAGTCTCTTTAGCCCTTCACAGCTGGTGCATAATGGTAAAGGTGAAAGATGGTCACACCGCAGTGAAGGCTGGCCCAAATATTTGTTAATAAAATATGGGGATCAAACAAAGTTTGCATGATTTTTTTCTTAATCGTAGGCAAACATCACCATCATATGTATAATTCTTTAGTTTTTCATTTGCTAAAATCATGTTGAGTCTGTAGCCAGTGCTGTCCTTTCATTAGTCCATGAAGCAAGCAGCCTTATGATGAACATTCTAATAGTATGCCTTGGTGACTACGCCCAGCAATGTGTTTGCTCACAATCCTATGATAATCTTACAGAAAATCAGTATGGTGCTGCATATCCAGAATCAATACTTTAAACAACTTCCACAAATTTATTAATAATCCAAATTTAAGATGGATGGAAATATATGCTTTATTGAATGGCATACAGGAAGTAAGTTGAATATTCTGCTATGTTAAGATGAAATGCAAAGGTGAGCTGTGGCCAAAACTCTTAATATTTGGCTTTGAAATAAATTTTTGTTTCAGTGCAATATTAAGCAAGATGACATGTGAATAATTCTTGATAAGAAATTTCTTTTTCAGAATACTAGCACTATTGGAATACTTAAAGAATTTTTCATTATAAGGCCATTAATGAAACTTGTCTTGGGAGAATTTTGAGAAGAATTAGAGCAACAATTGTGCCATTGTGTACAGGAAAACCACATTTCACCTCTAGGTCCTACATACCAACACCTTGAGAACCCGGTTTGCTGTCTGCCAGAGCACAGTCTGGGTAACCTGAAGGACGAATTCATGGCCTAATGAACATTTTCCCTGTTACTATTTTTTAAAAAAATAAATTTCAGATGTTCTTTTTTATAAAGGGATATTTTCTCTTTTCTTATTCTTGTCTTGACAGGTACCTTAACATGGGGAATCTTCTTAAAGTTTTGACATGCACAGACCTTGAGCAGGGGCCAAATTTTTTCCTTGATTTTGAAAGTGAGAAGATGATTTTATATCTATTTCTCTTTGCCTGCAGTAGACTGCGTTTGTCTTGCACTAAATGAATGTTTCCACTTTGCCATCTTTTTAACTGCTTTGCATGACTGAGCTATGAATTGTTTGAGTAAAATTTCTGGTGCCTTCTAGAACTGGAAGTCAAGATTTTATAGATTAAATTGTGATAAAATGTTTTTACTTGAATTTTTGTAAGAGAGTCTTATCTCCTAGTTGGATGTTATTTTATAATTGGAGATACTCTAGTGAAAACATTTTTATGAAAAAATTTTGGTGGAAAGGACAACTGCTATTTTGGGATTTGTTAATAGAAGCAATTTTTGGGGGAAAATTGATTGCAGTTGAGAAAAATTGACTAGGTGTTAATTACTCTATGTATATCTATTGAAGTATTTTAAATACAAATCTGTTCATGAAGGCCATTCAAAGCTCAGTAATTTGGGCATAATATTAAAAGGTAAGTGTGAACCTTAATTATTTAATCTTTACAGCTAATTAATTTGAAAAGTTAAACTCATTATATGTATGTATTTCAGGAATCCTTTTTTTTTTCTAACTCTAAATAAAAAGAAAAATAATGGGTTCACAGACCTTTAAGTAATTTGCCTTCTGTTTGTTTTATGTTGCATGACCTATTGTAATATGGTCTAAGAGTGGCAGGTAAGTGTCATTGACCCCTGTGCATGTTGGAAAGCTTTTGCTTTTTGGCTGTCTGTATTGCTTTAGCTTATCTGGTTGTCAAATTGAGAACAATGATATTAAATTGGTTGTTTCACTGTGAATGTTGCTGTTTTAACTGATCATTATTAGAAAATTGTTAGGAAAGGGTGAAGAGATAGAAGTTTAAAAGTTGTGTGATCCCATGCATTTTTATCTGAGATTAAAACATTTGAACAGATTTTTAAATTCTTAAAATTTAAGACCTTTTCTGGTTTTAAAAACAAAATAAATCCCTTAAAATCTATCCCCAGAGAGTCATTGCATTTTCCATCAACTTCAGTTTATGTGATATTATACAATTCATTCTATTTTATGAATAATTTATATATTTTTTCTTTAAACCAGGACAGTTCATATGAATCAGTTTGTAGCTTATCTACATTTTATTGAAATAATTTGTGGTCTCTGATTTTTTTTTTTTTAAATTCCTAGAAATGTTCTGTTACAGTTTGGGTCCTGTGTACAGGCTAGCAAAGAAGAGTAATGTGAATATCAGGACCATATTAAATTGTTGGGTTTTTAGGGGAAGATGTTATTAAATGAATATTAGTTTTCTTGACCCTTCTCAACAATTTAACAGTGCCATTGTAAGTGCATGTTCAGCATGAATTTTAATCAGCTTGGGGTTGTTAAGCAGAGTGCTGACTTGAAGATTCTTCTTTCAGATGAGGCAACTTACATTAGAGCTGTATTTTAGTTTGTTTGCATCTATTTCAAACTGGTCTTGTATATTTTTCTGCTATTCTGTCTCCTTTTTATTCTGTCTCACATTCCTTACATTTGCAGAATCTTGGCTTTGATACAGTCAAGATCTTGTTCAAGACTTGGCACTTGATCTTTTTATAAACCTAGCATCATGTTGTGGTCAAGTGAGAAGCATGAATTTACTGTAGTATTTTAAATATTCTTTGGTCTTGGCTTTACAGTCTTTGGGGGTTTGAACCATTATCCTTAAAATTTAAATAGCTAATTTAGTGGCAGGAATAGGTTAAAATTGCTGACACCACCACCAATAACAACCAATAATGAAGTACTATACATGAAGTGTTAACTTATCAAAGGCAGATGTAAAGTAAAGGTGATATTTGTTGACCTTATCAGCCAATGTAGAACTTTCAGTTTGACACTGGATATGCCATATACTTTCCCAGAGTTTGCCCGTTGTTACTTCTTACTTAGGTTTTTAAATGTTTTCTTTTGATTCCAACATTAGAGTACTCTTAATCAGTTTTTGTTTCATCTATTGCATATTTGCTTCTTTTTGGAAATATGCATTTGTAAAAGTTTATCTTATCATTAGACTATTCAGTGACTTTAGCCCAAGCATGGGTCCTGTCTTCAACAGCTGTATAGCAGACTAGGAATTGTCAATATAGTTGATTTGCCAGTTCCTTGTGATTACTGAGAATAAAGCCACATTCTTTTATTAAGTAGCATATTTAATACTACATTGTTTGTTTCTGATTGAAGAATAATATTCAGGTTACCAGAGTAATTTGGCTTTACCATTCCTCCATTCCTCTTTTTTTTTTTTTGAAGATTTTTTATTTATTTATTTGAGAGAGAGAGACAGATAGTGACAGAGATAACGAGAGAGAGCACAATCAGGGAGGAGAGGGAGAAGCAGGCTCCCGCTGAGCAGGGAGCCTGATGTGTGGGCTCAATCTCAGGACCCTGGGATCATGACCTGAGCCGAAGTCAGACGCTTAACGACTGAGCCACTCAGGCGCCCCTATTTCATTCTTAGTGGTTAAATCTAGCTCATTGTATCTCCATGATTGGGTAGCTAGAGAAATAATTTCATACAGATAGATATACTGGCATTTTGTATCAAGTTGTGTACAAATTAAGTATTTTTATGCATATAAAACGTGATCTAATGGAATCCTGTAGTTTACAGAATGAAGATGTCTTTAAATAATGACGCCTTTAGTTTACATGCCTGTACATACATGGTTTTTCAGTTCAGTTCAACAGACATTTATGGCTTGCCTCCTGTATGCCAACCAGTAGATGCTGAGGATTCAGAGATAACGAAGATACAGCACCTTCCTTTCAGGAGTTCTCAGTATAGTAAGATAGAAACACAAACTAATAATTTCCTTGACATCCTTTACCACTCAAAGTGTGGATCACAGGGGGTTAACTATACCTAGCAGTTAGTAGATGGGTTATCATGGAAGACTTTCTGATGGTAACCTTTGAGTTGGGTTGTGGAGTCAGAATGTTTTAGGGTAAGTTAGTGAAGGAAGGAAGGAACAGCATCTACAAAGCCCTTAAGGCATGAAATGACATTCTATATTCAGTGAAAATACTGTTATCTACTCTTGAGGTGTACTAGAAAAAGGGACTTCTTCTTAAATTGTACCTATATGATAAGATTTTATTTTAAGAATAATGGTTCAACTAAGATATAAACCCAGAATTGCCCCATAAAATTTGACAGCAGTTATGCTAATGGCAGCATATAAAAAGCACTGAATTGGGGGCAGTATAGCCTCTTGTACTTTTTGGAATTTCTTATTTGATAATGACATTTATAGCTCATTCTAATGGCACATCTTTAGCCTGAGTAACTACTGTATCTCTTAGTCCATTAAATTGTGGTTCTTAGGAGAAGAGGCACTTCTGTTTATTTTTATGTCCATTTCCAACCTGCACAGTGCTTTGTAAATGATAGAAGTTCAGTATCTGTTAGTTAACTTGACTTATCTCCAGGTAGACCAAAATAGGAGAGTAAATAAAGGTGGTCGTTTGTAAATGAGGAATGGAATCTTACTTTCTCTGATTCTTTGTTAAAGTGCCTTTCCATTTAGTCATACATTCCCTCTAATTCTTGTGTCTTTTGTGTGACTTGTCCTCCGCAATCTTGTAAAACTATTGAGATCCACTCTTTCAGTTTAACTTTTTTTTCCCATATTACTTCTTGCATATTTTCAGTTGCTTTTGCCCTGTACTTTGAAATATCTTTATTCTGGTGGCATTTTCTTATATTTATTTTTCTAAAATGATGGAGGATTATAGTCATACAGAGATAAAAATGCATAATAGTTTCCTTTAACTCATGCTGGAGTCGCATTTATATCTCTACCTTCTCATTCATTCACCAAACACTTGTTACAGAAAATCTACTTGGGACAAGTTTACATCCTGTACGGTGTATGTGCTATACACTGAGGTCCCTGCCTTGATGAAACTTAGGGAGATAGATCGTAAATATTTACCGAATGAGTGAGTGCAAGACTAAAGCACAATGGCCCCTTATCACAATTACAGTTTTTGTGTGACTTTCTTTTTGTTATTTTTTTTTGTAGCTGATCTTTGCCCCCTTTTCTATTTTTTATAAAATTGTATAAAATTCAGATTGAAATTTAGCAATTATTTTCAGTGACTCTTTAATAGAAAACCAGTATGAAATTACGATTATTTAATTTTACCTTCAAATAATAAGAGCAACTGAAACATGCCTTAATTTCCCTTGAACAGCTATTAAAACTAATCTTGATGAGTAATCACTGCTCCTGCTCTAAGTAGTAGATACTTTATTTTGCATTCAAATGAATGTCCTTTTGTCACCTGGTTAAATGATAGTTTTTTTCTCCAAGTAATAAAATTTTTCATTCTTTGCCATGAAAAATCACAGTGACAAGTCTTGGTTGTATTATATGATACCATTTTTTGAAAAAAAAAGTGCTTTATTTTATAATCTTTTCTCCCTCCCTAGTATTTCACCCTTTTGCATGACTTGCTCTCAGTAAAGTAGTGCTTATTACCTGTCTGCTACTTTCTGTTTGTCTTCATTTCTACAGCAGTCTTCAGCAGCTTTCAAAATTATAAATGTGACTTTCCTGTGACAGTCTAAAAATGTTTAATCAGTGTGGTGCTGGGTATTTTTTCCACCCTTAGGGGGAACTGGAATCTTCTCTTTTATTTTTAAATTTCTTGGTACTTACTAAACTTTTAATAATTATTAACCACTTCCAAGGTCTACTTAAAGCTACTTGATAATGTTTCTTCTGTATGTAAGTCTCAGTGTCACATTTTTCTGTTAACAGCTAGGTCACCACACCAAAAATACAGTTTAGTATTTTCAGACTTCACAAGTATCTTTTGATATATAATAGTCAAAATATTGTCCTTTGTCATGAATTCCCACTTCATGAATTAAAACTATGATATGTGTCTACTATTGATGTTATGTCTGTAGTTTCACAATTCCATATGAAAAAGTATAAAACTGCTGTTTTGCATGTTAAAAAAGTATTTTTCTCTATTGCATCTGGTGTAAGTATAAAAGTTATGAGGTGTACTTTTTTTTAGTGTGTGTCTTTTAGTTTGGAGAATATGGTCTGGCTAAATGTGAGAAATTATTACTGCTAAATGCAAACCCTGATTTTTAAAAAATCATTTAGCTTCAGTATCAATATTTGCTTCTAGTAATACCTTTACGGCTTTGGACACAGAGTATTTTTAATTTGGCTCCTCTTGTGTAATTATTTTGTCAGAGTATTTTTATTAAAAAAATAGATTTCTGAAAGGAGATTTGGAAAATAAGGGAACAGATACAAGAACACAAATTCTTGAGTTGGCTTTGCACATGAATGTTATCTATTGTTGCCATAGTACTGTTTAACTATGTTGAAGTTAAAATTTGGTACTCTGTTGATTTTTTTAAAAACTGGTATATTTTTGACTAGTTTGCAGCCTTAATAGGTGGAATTGAATTATGACTTGCCCTATGTGCAAAATAAAGTTACAGTTCTTAGGCATCTGGACTCCTAGTTTCATGTGTGAACTAAGTTTAAATTTTCAAAGGAAAGAAATAAATATATTGTATATTTGTGGGAAGGTAAAGTGGGTGCAGAAAAGTCTAAGTACTAGTTTTTATATGATTGGTAGACAAAGGGATTTGTTAGAAATGTTCTCAGTTCATATTATCAATTTGGTCTGCCTCCCCTATCCCTGTAAGAAAAATATTTGTGTGGAGGAATTCAGCCAACACAGTTCCTCTCTAAAACATGATGTTCATAACGTTTATCATTTTTAGTGCTTTATGCCTTATCTGTAGAATCAAATGTGGTCTAATTGGAAAGATTTATGAAAAACTCCCATTTCACACAGATTGCCCATTTTTCTCAAAAAAAAATTGTATTAAAAAAGAAACAAATGACCAAGTTATTAAAAACAGCGTTTCTGCTACCTCAAATTTAGGAGCGAGAAATCCAGATTTAGTCATCTATTAGCATATGCTCTGTGGCTAACACCACAGGTGGTGGAAGTGCCCATATGTTTGTGTTCCTGATTGTGCTTTTTATGACTGTAATTCTCCCTTCATTTTTCTCTCACTCAGTCCCAAGTATGTGGGGAGCCTGTTTTTGCTTTAGTATTTCAAAACTTCAGTGACAGTATTATAGCTCCAAGTATCTGGTTTTCAGTCTAGCCGTTCTGAAACAGTGTCATAATTTGAATTCCTCTGCACAGGAGTTTTGATCTTGTGCTCATCAGCAGAGAAGTTCATTGGCACAGAATTTAAAGTGGTCCCTAGTAAAGGGAAACATCTAACAACTATTCTTTTAAAATAGTTTTTATTCTATATTGAAACTCAAGTCATTAAAATGAACTTTATAGGAAAATAAAGTAGTTTCAGTCTTAAGGTGTAGATGAACAAGATATATTAGTAGGCTTTCCATTTCTGTTGCTTTAAAATAAATCATTATTCATGCATTTGCAGTTATTACTGGTAATGATTACTATAGTAGTAAAAGTGATTATTAACACTATCCCAAATTTAAATTTTGAATTACTGTTCTCAAGTTCATTTAATATACCAAGTCATGGTTTGTAACTTAAGATAAATAGTAATGTTTGATGGTCCCTTGCTCCTTTGTGATTTTACAAACTTGAGGCTAGCTATTCAAATGTAGAAGTATGGAAAAGTTATCAGTCTTTTCTAAGAAGTGCAAAGTTAACATTGAATAAAATGTGAGCCATCTTTAGAAATTGAGATTGTTCATTGCTTAGAGTTATACATGTACTAAAAAAATCATGTGACTGTAAATTTTTTTGTGCTTTCCTGCTATTTAGATGCCCAGCCTACAGAGTCTGAGAAGGAAATTTATAATCAGGTGAATGTAGTATTAAAAGATGCAGAAGGTATCTTGGAGGATTTGCAATCATATAGAGGAGCTGGCCATGAAATACGAGAGGTAAAGCATGTTTAAACATTTTCCAATAAACTAAAATTTACTACGTCCCTCCTCTTCTTAATCTCTCTTTTGTACATACTTTTGAATTCTCTATTGCATGTTAAGTATTATATTTAAAGAACGATCACTTGCATTATTCCAAAAGTGGTTGTAGTGATACAAGGGTAAAAGGAAAACAATGTTCTGTGAATATGTAATTTATGTATGTTAAAGAAAATTTTATTTATTTTTTGGTTGCTCTCACACCTGAAATTTACAGGATCCATGGGGGGGACTACTTATACTTTTTATACTTATTTATACTTTTGGAGAGGAGGAGAGAACATAACTTTCTGAGGCCTTGGGTCCTGCTAGTCTTATTTTTTCCATTCCTCCCATGCCTTCCGGGAGAAGGCTGCTGTCACCCTTGCAGTCTAGACTCCCCCAACTCTGTCCGATGACTTTACACCATGGGGCCAATCTTTGGTGTGGTCTCCATGATTTTCTCCTGAGCCTCTGAACTCATCCAGGTTTCTATCTATCTCTTATTCCACTTCTGTTTTTCAGAAAAAACTGTGTCTCCACTTGTTACCAAGACTAATGTCTCTACCTTTGTTCTGCATCTTCCTCTGGAACTTTACTATTTTAATTATTCCTTCTCTTAATTACATCTTCTATGTGTTTTCTTCTATTGACTTCTTCCCCTCAGAATATATACATACCCAGGTGTCCTCTACCACCCAAAGAAACACCCTAGCCTCTGGACCTATCTCTTTCTCATTACTGCATTTCTTAAGGGCATTGCCCTGCTTCTTCATTTTTTTCCCCAGCCTTCTGCTTCTCTTATTCTTGTGTATAACTAACAGTGCAGAGGTTGTCAAGGCACAGTCTGTGGTTTTACGGTCCTTATCCAGCTCCATTCCTCTAATGACATTTGGAGTATTAGTGAACACAGAATTAAGTGTAGGCATCAGAAGATGATTCAGGATGTTTTAGTTTTGGACTAAGGGGCCACAGGTTTTGGTGATTGACTGGATGTTTAATATAAGGGAGAAGGGGAGTTAAATGATTCCAGGGTTTCTGGTTTAGATTAGCCATTGGTGATATCATTAGCTTAGGGAAATCAGAGATAAGGTGAATTCCATTTTTTAACCTCTCCTGGCCTGGACTGTTTGTACCTTGAATGTCTTGCACACGTACACTTTTCCTTCCTCCACATCCCAGTAATTACTTCCCCCTTACTCGGCTGCCCCAGTGCTTTGCACACATTTCTTTTATTGAAATTTAATGTTGATAACTCCCCCACCACCTCCAGCTTGAGGAGGAGAGTAAACCTGGTTTCTTACTGATTTGTGTGTCATCAGCACCTAAAACAGTGCTTAGGAAGCACTTAGTAACTGTTGAAGAAATAAATACAAGAGCTTAGATGAATCTTGCCAATATCATTAGCTTAAGTGAAACCTTAAGATTTCAGTAAATGAAGGCATGTAACCCTTCCTGTGAAATTCAAGTCCTAAACATTTAAACATGTTTTGAAAAATCAAACATTTGTGGATATGGAAGATTTAAATGATTAAGCAGGATCTTAATTAACTAATTGACAAATTCTTTTCCTATAGTTCACAACAATTCACAATTTGTTCTAAAAATGTTTTAGTGTCTTCATATTGATAATCAGTGCTACAAATTATTTTTAATTGTTCAGTATTATATCATTAAAATCTTTAAAATTTATTTTACAGTTGAATTCTGATCAGCTGGTTACAGTTGTCTCCCATAAACAATAAAGAAAAAACTATAGAGATATAGACTTTTACCTTTTGCCCTTAGGATTTTTAAAAAAAAACTTAACCAAATGAAGGGTAACTCTGCTTCTTTGTGGGAAGGCTCACTACAGTCTTTATATTGACTTAATTGAATGTAGTTGTCATCTTCTAAAAGACAGTAAAATGATAGAAACCTTACTTAGGAGCCATTTCAAAGAGGACTTGTAAAAGTTCCTGTAAAACCAGGAACTTTAGATGCAGTGACCAAAGGTTGGAGTTCACCGTAGGACCCCTGTGGTCACCCAGTTTAGTGCTGTGGCCACATTCAGTACGCTCGTGGCATTCCATGGTTGGTCACACGGGAAAGTAAATAAATGTCACAAAGTTAAAGTTTACATAGAAAAATAACACTAAAAGGAAAGGGGAGAATCACAGGAGATAGTAAGAGATTCACCTTACCAGGCTTTGAGACTTACTATAAAGGTACCTTCATTAATTCTTTGGTAAAGGAATTAAGGACAGAAAAATAGGTAAATAAAATAGATAAAAAGTATGTAAGCTAGAAGACTTAAAACGGCATTTAAATCTGTAGATTAAGGTAAGTGTGTAACTATTCAAGCATTTGAAGAAATTTTCACTGAGGAATGCATATTGATGTTTGGGTTTAACTCTATAAGCAGAAAATATTTCTGAATGGTAGGAAAACAAATTAAGAAAGGAAGGTACAAATAAAAGCTGATTATATACAAATATACAGAGAACAAATACAACTATGGTAACTGTCAATAGGAAGACTTAAACTTGGTAGAACAACCATTCTACCAATGAAAAAGCACAGACAATAGGAAAAAAATGTTCAGATTTACTAATAAATGCATATCACTGTCAAGCAGTTTTACTATGTATGATAAATTGTAAAAGCTCAATATTGGTTTATGAAGGAACAGGTAGTTTTAATGCAAGTGCTAATATAAAATGGTTGCCATTTTTGGAGGTCAATTTGGCCAGTTGTAAAATGAGATCTATAAAATTGTTTGTACTTCTGTACCCGATTACATTTTAGAAAATACTCTCTGAAAGAGTATCATTCAAGAGCAAGGTAAATGTAAAAACCTATGCTGAGGATGTGGAATTTACTTACATTTTTGTTTAAATGGCATTTTATTAAACATGACTGAAATAGAATAAAATTTGACTTAATATAGAATCTATTAAACAAAGCTTATTCTCTAGGATAAACCACTGGTGAGGGAAATAAGAGCTCTCCACTACTGTTTTGATAGATCTATACCAGTTGTAACGCTTTTGAAACTGAGAGTTGCCATATCTGCTCCATGACAGTCTCACCGCTGACCTGTACTAAGCGTCCTTTGCATGTTGGGCTGTCTGGGTGCTGCACCAAAAGTGTCGCCTAACACAGTGAAACTGATGTGAAAGGAGAAGGAATCAGAATTACAGTGAGAACCATAACATGTTGTCATAAAAAAGCAGCCAGTGTCCTGGTTCTAAATCCAGGCGGGGCAGGGTCAGGGAGGTAGTTAACTCACTCAGTTGTGAAAGTGGGTAATGTTTGCCAGACCATTTTGATATTATGAGAATGAGCTCTTACTTTGAAAATAATTTTTAGATCTTGCAAGAAAAGTTGGATATGCTTCTCAGGAAAAGAAAAGAAAATTTTAATTTTTATCTGTTTGCTTATTTCCTGAATAATTAACAGATTTTTACCACTTGATATAAAACATTGCTGAGATGGGGCTTGAGACTAAAAGAACTGTTCGTATTTGTCAGGGTAGTATCACAATCCCTATGAAAGGATTGTTTTATGTAATGTCAGATTTTCTTTAATATTAAAATTCTAGGTAGTCACTTAAATGGGATTCACTTCAGAATCCTACTGTGTTTGAATATCATTGGGGGCGCCTGGGTAGCTCAGTTGGTTGAGCTTTTGACTTAAGCTCAGGTCGTGATCTTGGGGTCCTGGGATCGAGCCCCACCGTCGGGCTCCCTGCTGAGTGGGGTAACTGCTTGTCCTTCTCCCTCTGCCCCTCCCCCTGCTCATGCTCTTATCTGTCTCTCTCAAATAAATGAATAAAATCTTTTAAAAAAACGTTTTATATAAAAAAATCAAGAAAATTTGCATGTAGTAGCAAGCTTATAAGGCACATCGTATAAATAATATATAGCCCATTTGTTTAATTTGTAGCTTATTTATTCAGAGCATTCCCTAAATCTGGTTTCAGTTTTATTTTGCTTTCTTGTTTTTCAGTTTAGTGTGGATGGAGTCAGAGTACTAGTGCCTTTGGAAAATCTAAACATGTCGATACCTCTTGATAATGTTTCTAAGAAGAACCCGCATACACTCCCCCATCTTGGTTATGAGTTTCAACTTTCAGATAGCATGTTTAGCTTGTTTGAAGATGTTAGAGAAAACAAACCAGATTGTTGAAAAAAAAAAAAGCATTAAGTTCCATAAAAGATTAAGAGAAGCAAAAGAAAGATGAAAGCAAGAAAATACCTTTCTTTGGGAGTGACCCTCTATATTCACAAAAGATTGCCTAATGCTTTGAAAGACTGGTCATATTTTATTGAGTATACCAGGGTTTCCTGTGTTTGCCGAAACCTATATTTTAATGTAAAAATAATACTGTTTTGATTTTTAAAACTCTAACTATTTTTATTCTTTGGATTTTGAAGGCAATCCAGCATCCAGCAGATGAGAAGTTGCAAGAGAAGGCTTGGGGTGCAGTTGTCCCACTAGTAGGCAAATTAAAGACATTTTATGAATTTTCTCAGAGGTTAGGTAAGTTGAAAGTTTTGTAATTATGACTTCCCTAGTGAAAAAGACATTTATTGATAAGGAATTAATGTAGAGTATCTTATGTTCACCTTGCTAAATCTGTATGCTACATAGGTACAGCAATCTTGTTAGACTGTAAGATTATAGGATAATCTTATCATCCCTATCAACCCAGGTCTTTAATTTATTTAGACCATTTCCCCAATAAATTATAACTTCCACAAGGAAATGTTTGAAATTTTTTTTTTTTTTTTTTTTTTTGGTAGCCTAAAGGGTCCTAGTATGAGAAACACTTGGTAGAATTTCTCTCCAGCTATACAGCAAATCCTGTCCCATATGTGGGAACTAATCGTCAGGCCTCTGGGTTATTTAGATTGTTGTATTCTTAAAAATCATTGCTGATTATGGTTAGTTCATGGATCTAAAATGGTACAAGATGAGAAAATAGCAAGTTGATGTGCCCAAAGTTATCTAGGGAGTTATTAAAACAAAAAGCACTCAAAACCATTAGCTTTTTTCCTGGCAAGGGAATAATTACTCAGAGATCAGAATTATACCTTCCATACAGTGAGTCAGCAAAATTGGAATTCCCTTTCTTTTGAAGGAGGAGGAGGCAGAGCAGGTAAGATTTAGGCAGTTAACTGTTGGAGTAATTTGAAAGACATAAGTTGGCCAGGTGTTAAAAATTGGCAATTATTTGGGTTCTGTGTTTTGTTGTTTTTAAGTCTCCAGATGCCTTGGGAAAAATCAGAGTTTAGGCAGTTGATTGGTCAGTCTACATCTCAGTTGGCTGGAGTGATCTCTGCAAAGCATCTCTGTGTCCACTGGTGTAGGGCTTGTGCTTTCCAGTTTGCAATAGGTCCCTGTCACTTCCTAGTTTTTCCTTTCTGGCTCTCCATACCTTCGTATTAGCTACTAGGCCACTTGGGTCTGCAACCTACTTGAAAGCTGAAGTTCAATTTTTTTAAAAACTAAGAGAACTGCTGTTTTTCCTTAGATGAAGGACTGTTAAAGGTACAGATTGTTGAGATAGAAGTGTTGGTATAAATTATCCTTTTCTTGCTAGAAATAAGAATCGTAGCTTATTTTCTCAATAGGGACAGTCAAGTTCTTTCATGCTGCTGACCTTTTGATCAAGTAGTTTGTAGTCTGTAGTTTTGTAACCTCATTTGAACTGAAGTCTTTTAATCGTGGTTATCTTGATTCCTTCATGCGCTGCTAGTTCCTAGCTGCACATTAGAAGTTATATTGCTTTAGATGGTGCTCAGGCCTACTCAGACTCATCTTGGTCTCTTAGCATTTGCCACTTAAATAAAAAAGAATAATTATAAAATAGGCCAAACCATTCACGCTTACATGTTTTCTTATGTTTTAACTATCAGAATTAAATCAGGCTAGTGGTGTGTGTTCCATTTCAGCAGAGTGGTATTATAACATAGGTAATAGCAAGAAGCTATCATTTTTCATACTGTGATGTGGGAGCCTGGAACTTTGATTACTCTAGGGACTTCTGTAGAGTTATGAGCAAAGTACAAATTTAATATAGGATAGTTTACTGCTCATCTCTTCGCCCGTAACCTGGTTAGTAATGTTTCCAGTTTCCTTATTGACAGTAACATATCCTTGTTTACATATGCTAGGAACTCACTGTTTCTTGAGTGAGTGAGGGATGAATTAATGAATACACACATCCTGGGGACGCCTAGGCAGCTCAGTCGGTTAAGCATCTGCCTTCGGCTCAGCTCGTGATCCCAGGCTCCTGGGATTGAGCCCCATGTCAGGCTCCCTGCTCAGCGAGGAGTCTGCTTCTCCCCCTGCTGTGATCTCCCCCCCCACCCCCCGTCAAATAAATAAAATCTTTAAAAAAAATTAATACACACATCTGATGTATCGGATATGTATTGGGTATTTAGGAGAAGCAATAATAATGGATTTTAGGCTTTGGAGGCATAGCTTCCTATTTGAAATCTGAGGTTTACCATGTATTAGTTGTGTGGTCTTGACCACATGACTTAAATTCTCTGAGTTTCAGTACCCTGTCTGGACTTCGGAGTCTGGTGAGCCATCTGGTTTATATCCACTAAACCTTTTGTCTCTTTTCTTCGTGCCTGAGCTACAGGTGAGGATAAACATTATAAATAGCCCACAAAGAACTACCTAACTGTTAAGATACATGTGGTCCCTCAGAATCTTGCAATCCCAAGGAGAGGGTGGTTGGCCTCAGCACCACGGATACACTGTGATGTGTACTCCAGAAGAGGGACCCTGATCCCTTGCCAGTTTGTAAACTTATAGAGAGGCAGGGAAGGGATCACTTGACTAATTTGGAAGATATACTGATCTTTGTTGACAAGGTTAACATTGCTGGCCTGGGAAATATCCTGTACTTGCTTGTTTCAGTCCAAGGCCTTCTTCGTTGAGGCATCTCAGTGAGGATTGTATGATCAGACCATAAACAGACTCCTTTGTCTCTCCTCAGCCTTCTTCCTGTTCCTGGGGCTTATTAATAGGGGTCATCCCCTGGGGTCATAATGGGTAGGTCTGTCCATCATGTTGGCTCGTTTTCACTGGGCTAGATTGCCCACAATGAGTGTGGTCATGTTTCTTGGCTATGTTAAGTCACCCACAGTCCACATCTTTTGTGTTTTTTTCCTGAGGATTTAAGTTCCAATATGAGTCTTTGATTTAGGTGTGGATGGCAGTGTTGATAAATGCTTGTTTCTAAAGGGGAACTTTCCACAGGGGCCTCCTCTTAAACTAGGCATCCACTGGTTTCCCCTTATTGTTCTACTTTGTGGACTAATCTGTCTTTATTATTTCTCCCAGTTGGTCTCTTCCTTGTAACCTTGTGCACTGATCTACCAGCTAATTTCTTCTAGAATTTAGGGCTTAGTAGACTGTTAATTTCTTCTTATCACCTTTCCTAAGAATCCTAATCACATGGTTTTGTTTTAGGAGCTCCATCAGGAAGACCAATCCCTACATCATCTCCTCCTTGACCTCCCTTTCTTTCCAACTCAGCCAGAGACCTGAGCCATCTTCTGGGATCTTCTGTCTCTGATTCCTTTCTTGACACAGGGCATTATAGACTAGTAGGACTGTTTTGTATCCAGTGAGTCTCCCAAGATGAGAGGCTGGTCTAGGTCCCCCAAAGGCAGATAAGCAGTGCCATTGTCTTGAGATGCCCTTTTTTCACAGATTTGCCCTTGAGGGCTTCAAGCAGAACAGAAGTTCTCCAACATGGTTACTGGCCATCCCAACTCAGCCAAGTGACTGGACTGCACTCCTTAGGCGGGGGAGGGGGGGGTCTGCCATCCCCCAAAGTGGTAGAGCACCTTGAATGTTAAATTTACCCTGAGACTTGATAAAATTTAGGAAATGCAAATTTCTTTTTTTCTTTAACAGCCTGTAACAGTATTGGTGTGTGTGTTTTAACAGTTTTTACTATTCTCATGTCTCTTAAACTTTGCTTTCCACTTTATATTAATACTGACAGATGGAATGAATCTTGGGAGATGAGTACACCATTTTTCAAAATAGCTAAAACGTGTTTTTCCTCTTAATTGACCTTCACGTCCACTCTTGCACTTCTGTAAGCTATCCATACTCCTGCAGTCCATTCTACACATAGCAGATACCATGGAGTTTTTATAAGTGTTAATCTGATGGTATCACCACCCTGTCCAACTAGTTTCTGCAGGGACATTAGGATAAGACCAGAATACTGGATATGGCACATAAATTATATGCATACTGTTCTAGTCTTGGGTTCCTCTCTTCCTTGTGCTCTTTTCTGCCTGTATTGGTCTTCTTGCCATTCCTCTGCTATGTCATGCTCTTCTCAGTTCAGGATGTGGCTCACTACCCTGCTTGCAAACTCGTGCTCATCCTTAGTGCACACTTCACCCTCAGCCCAAATGTCACTCAGGTCTCTTCCTGAGCCTTCAACTAAGTGAGGTTCTATTTTTATATTTTTTCATTGTATCATGTGCTTCTTAACACACATCACAACTAATAATTTGTCTTCTCTATATAATCACGCTCCATGTGGGCATAGGGAGCATGTCTGCTTTCATTTGTGTTACCCCAGTGCCTGGCACATGGTAGACAATCAAGACTTTCTGACTTGCTATAAAAAAAAAGATAAGAACTATCGTTTGGAGTTATTGTGTAGGTGACAGATAACGTCTGTGTAGTGTCTAGCTCAGTACCAGCACATATTAGACATATAAGAAGTACCTTCTATGTAGTAATCCATAGATTCATGTTTTATAAGGTTACAGAAGGCTAGGTAGAATGTTGCTTTATTTGAGAGGCAGTTTATTATGTATTAAGGTGGAAAGAACAGGGCTGTAGAGTTAGAAACATCTGGCATTCACTAGCTGTACCCTTGGGGGTCTAAAATCTTCGAAACTCAGCGTGTACCCATCAATGCCCATGTCCTAGTTGATGGTGAAAGTTAAATAAGAGACTAAGTCACGTGCATAGTAGGGATGTTAGTTCATAGTAGGATCTTCATAAATAATAGAGCTGGTATTTTTTTAAGTTAAGGGTTGATCTGACAAATTTATTATTAATAAATATTTACTTAATAATCTGACATTTTTTCATTAATGTCAGATCACCATCTACTACCATAAGCTCCTGTTTTCTTTGAATAGAATCTGGCATTTTTTTCTGATTCTGAAATCTGTGAATGGATTAATTTGATTTCTTTGATTTTTTTTTGAAGTGAAATATCAATATTTCCATTTTTAAACACAGTATAAGTCTAGCATTCCAAAGAGAGCACTTATTTCGAAGGGACCATGTACTTACGTAATGAATTAGAATATTTATATTGTGATTCTAAGATGCCAAGCTCTAAGACACTCAGGAAGCTAATTATTAAACCAAATACTTTGTTTCCTTTAGTATCTGAAAGAAAGCAATTTATGTTTATAAATAAGCAACATATTCAAAGTATGAGAAGTTGGTAATTTATTCCCAGCCATGTAGAGATTTGACTGTGTGGACACAATGCCACTGAAAAAGTTATTCAGCTATAGGTAACCCTTACCGGTTCATAAAAATCAACACTGTGTAGAATGGTGAAAATAATAGAAAATTTGCTGTTTGATCCTGGTATTTAATTTAGATTCATGTTCTGCGTTATTTTAAATTTGGGTTTATGGAATTATAAAACTGAATTGGTCCCTTTAAGTTTTTATTCTGTTAAACACTATTCAGTTTCAGTGATTATATTTAGATAATCTGGCTTTTGAAGAGACCTTATTTTTATGGGAACTAAAATCATAACATTTATAAATTGCTCATTTTTAAATAAAAATCAGTGAACTACAGCTTAATATTTTAATCTTCCTTTCTTTAGAAGCAGCACTAAGAGGTCTTCTGGGAGCCTTGACAAGTACCCCATACTCTCCCACGCAGCATCTAGAGCGAGAGCAGGCTCTTGCCAAACAGTTTGCAGAGATTCTTCATTTCACACTCCGATTCGATGAGCTCAAGGTAGGACTTTGTGCTGGCCCTGAGGTGCATGGATGTTGTGAGCCTTTCAGTGAGAACAGGAGGAAATCCCTGGAGACCTTGTCATAGTGTGTTTACGTGGTATCTGTTGGTCCTTAGTGAAACGTGGTAAACTGGATTTAAAAGTTATGGCAGGTCTTTTGATGTGTTACATGTGTAGCAAATAGCAAATTACTCAACACTCAGTCTTCGTTTAGCTTCATTTTTAAAATATCTCTGGAACAATATTGACCTTTTCTAATATTATTTTTTCTTTTCTGCTCATCCCTAATTTTCAACATCCCTTCGTATAAAGATGTTAAGATATTTCCTTCCTTTCTTCCTGCCTGCCTGCCTTCCTTCTTCCTCTTCTATCTATCTTCCTGTTTCCCTGCATACCGCCCCCCCATTGTTGGAAGGACTGAGTATAAAGAAATAAGTAGTAACTTTCATGTGAGGAGACCTGATCCACTTGAGGCTCTGTCACAGTAACCAGGTGTGAGGCAGGTCCTTCGACTTTCCAAGACTTCGGGGACCTTATCTGATAAATGGAAAAGGTGGATTCGTAATTACAGCCTTTTATGATTGCATAATAGGAAACTATTCTCTTTTTTTTTTTTTTAAGATTTTTATTTATTTGAGAGAGAGAATGCAAGAGAGAGAGAGCATGAGAGTGGAGAAGGTCAGAGGGAGAAGCAGACTCCCCACTGAGTAGGGAGCCCAATGTAGGACTCGATCCTGGGACTCCAGGATCATGACCTGAGCTGAAGGCAGTCGCTTAACCAACTGAGTCACCCAGGCGCCCAGAAATTATTCTCTTTTATTAATACTTTGAGCAGAAAGGATTTGTATATAAAATTTTAGTCTGAGGATTGCCCTGTTGACCATATACACATTTATTGTAATAATTCAAAACAAGTGCCTGCATATTTCTTGTTTTTGTTTATTTGGTAATACTGGTTTTTGGGAAACAACCTTTTAGTATGTTACCTAAAATTATTGAAAAGAAGAAGGGAAGTATACGGATCATGACTATGAAACAGTCTACATGGTTTATATGTTCAGAAGGACTAAGTACAATGTTATGTGATTTAGGGACCAAAAGCTATCTTGGGTGATGCCAGTTTTAGTTCTTAAATTGCTATTACAAATTAGGGAGTGTCACTTAACTAGTTAAAACTGTATTTAGGAGATTTTTCACTTAAGTTTTACACTATCATTTAGCATGCATAATACATTTTTCATTTATAATGTCTTCTTTAGATGACAAATCCCGCCATACAGAATGATTTCAGCTATTATAGAAGAACGTTGAGTCGTATGAGGATTAATAATGTTCCAGTAAGTTAAAGCTTTGATTCAGGGGTATAGTAATGATAGCTGTTAATTTGCTTGTTCATGTGCTCGTCCATTCAAGTGAAGTTAAAGCTGATGGTAAAGTTGGTACCCCACTGCGGGCTGCAGCTGTGAGAAGAAAGGGCAGGGTGCCGCAGACCACACGCAATGCTGGCCTGCCCTTCCACTGGGTCCCTTAGTCCCCACAACTCCTTCCTTCAGTAAAATTGCTATCTTTCCATACAACATTGATACTTAGAAAATTTCTCTGTGTATGCTCATTTTTATTTTTTAATTTTTTTAAAAGATTTTATCTTTAAGTAATTTGTACACCCCACATGGGGCTCGACTTCACAACCCTGACATGAAGAGTCGCACGCTCTCCTGACCAAGCTGGTCAGGTGCCCCATGTGTATTCTCATTTAAATTGCACAAAAACTTCGTGAATTCATAGTTGTGAGTTTTTTGACCCCATAGTCTTAGAATGGAAGAGTCCTGGAGAGAAGTTGACCTGGAATGAGAGGATACTAATGTTGGCAAGAGGGGCCGTGAGCACTCCTGTGCCTGTTCCTTGGCTACAAAATCGCTCTTCTGGTTTACTTAGGCTTGATTTCCCTTGATTTCTCCTTGTCTTTACCCTTTTCTACCTCCAGGGAGTCAAATACCGTAAGTAAAGCCTTAAATAGAAAGAAAATATTCTCTTTTTCTTCGGGGATTTTGAGGACCTACATTGTGCTAATTGGTGTGAAAAATGGGGAAATTTCTAGGATCAGCCTTATAGCCTCAACTAGATAGTTTAATAAAGACTACATAAATCTGTAAGGAGTGGTAAGTGGCATAAGAGGTTAAAGAAAGTGCCAAAGGAGCGACTGGTCTTTTTTTTTCTTTTTTCATTGAATCAGTATTTCCTGAAGTGGCTGTTCTAAGACAGGCCTTGGTAGGAAAAGGATTTCTCTTCCATGAAGCATCTGTTATTTACATTACTTTGGTTTTGCATAGACCAGTTCATGCTGTGAGATTGACCTTATCATTTGTCTTTTTCATACCCACCATGTCAAATCAAATCAAATCAGATCAAATCAAAACATGTAACACCCAGTCAGTCATCCAGGATAGCCATCCTGCTACCACCTAAGTCCAAAGACCATAAAATCACCTTTGCCCTATCTTTCACCCTCAGTACAGGTACATCCAGCTGTTGTCCAGTGAAATAACTTTCACATCTCTTCCTCACCCCCCTTTCCATCTCAGTTCTTTTCCAGTTGAGAGCCTCATTCTCACTCTCTTTGGCAGGCATTCTGTAGGAGAACTCATTTTGCGACCTATGGTCTCTTTCCTTTTTGGCACACTCTGCCTGACACCATCAGTCAGTTTGCTTTAGATAATTGACTTAATTGTTGTTCCTTTCTTCTAACATGCTCAGGGACCCCCTGTCACATGCAGAAGAAAAATAAGAACTTAAGCTAGCAGCTAAGACACTCTGCGGTCTGACCCCAGCCTTCCTTCCCAACCTCGCTGTCCACCGGCCGTTGCCCCTGATTACACCGAACACACTGGATTACACTCTAGGCCACTTGAAAACATGCTCTTCTCCCCTGACTGGTTGGAATGCCATGCGTACCTGCCCATCATCACCTGCAAAGGCTAAGTCTTCAGAGTCCATTTTAGTTTCTTCCAGTCTAGTGTAGTCTTCCTCTCACCTCCTTTTTTGGTCATCGCCTCTTAGCGTGTTGTGGGTACCTGTGTGTTCCTGAAACGGAGGCCAGGGCAGCGTCCTCTTCGTCTCCCTGTCTTCCCTTGTGACAGGAGGCAGCCCATTCAGGTTTTACTCAATTGCTTAATATTATTTACCATATTTTAAAAGAGGTTAATCTTTCTGAAAAATAGCTTAGTATCATTTTTAACCTGTTTTTAAAGAATATTTAAGTATTATGTGTACATAAGGGTCTAAAATATAATTTAAGAGTATTTAATAGAGTAATTTAACAAGCATTAGTAAAGCAGGCACTCTGCCTAGGCCCTTCTTTTATAAATGTTATCAGATTTAACAGTTTATGAACTGATATCACATGCTGTTATTTTCCACGTAGGCAGAAGGAGAAAATGAAGTAAATAATGAATTGGCAAATCGAATGTCTTTGTTTTATGCTGAGGCAACCCCAATGCTGAAAACCTTAAGTGATGCCACGACAAAATTTGTATCAGAGGTAAGTAAGTGTTGCCTAGATAGCTGGTTACTCTTCGTGTTGTTCTTCTTCCTATCTACTGCCGTGGTGACGTCCGCAGGCCTGTGACGTTGCCATCTCTAAGTGCATACGCGCTGAGTCCTGTCCTTCCCCAAGGCCCACATGCATACATCTACCTGCCTATCGGCAGCTTCCCTTTAGATGTATAGTCAACAACACCTCAATGGTATCGTGGCCAAACCGAGGTCTTGGGTGTTTTCTCCCAACCCTGCCCTTTCTCCAGTCTTTTCTGTCTTAATTAATAGTACCACTGTAAAGGCGAGTGACTTAGGGGTTTATCATCCTGAATTCCTTTCTTTATCTCACTTCTTATATCTCCTCTTTGAGACAGTATTACTGACCCTCCCTCCAAAATAGACCCTGAATCTGAAAACTTAGCTCCTCTCTTGCTCTACCTCTCCAGATCGGCCCACTGTCCTCTCACCTCATACCTGGATTATGGCATTCGTGTTCCTACTGGTCTTAACTACTACTGCTCTTGCCCCGCTATAGTCCCTTCTCCAAAGAGCAGCCAAGTAATCTTCTTTTTAAAAACCACATGCCCTTCTTCCTCTGTTTAAAATGTTTCCAGTGACTTTCCAGTCTCCTTAGGATAAAATCCCCCTACCTCATGGCCTGTGAGGCTCTGTCTGCATGTAATGGTTGTTTCCACTCAGCTACAATGTAAATGACTCTCAGGAGAGCAGGGTCTTGCTTCTCTTGCTCATAGCCATATCCCTAGAGCTTAGAACAGTATCTAGAATCTAGTCCATTTTTTTTTTACAAAATTAGGAGTAGGAACCAACATGTAAAGTTGTCAGTTTTCACATTATGTTAAGTTTTAAATTATACTTAAGTAATAACTATTACTTTCATTTTTTTCCTCCATACACTTTTACAGAATAAAAATTTACCAATAGAAAATACCACAGATTGTCTAAGCACCATGGCTAGTGTATGCAGAGTCATGCTCGAAACACCGTGAGTATTAGCTGATTCTTTTTCGCTTTAACAATCCTCTTGAAACAGTTGTCTAGATATGAACAGGTCTTATTTGGAAGGCGGAAAATAAGTATATCTGAAGTATCCAGTGTTACATATATGAACAATATTAAAATAATTTGGAGCTTAATGTAACTTCTGGTTAAGTAGAAAGTACAGTGGGTTTTCAGGTCCCTAAGGCCAGTCAGACTCACTTATTAGACTCTTTGGAATGGGGAATTTTGTGGTGCTCTTATGGAGATAGGGGAAGAGCTTTGCTGTTTTGGTTATGCTTCTCATCAGCATTCTCTCTCCTTTTCAGTAAGAACCTTGCCTTTTTGCTAGAGGACTAGAGTTACTCTTCTACTTATCCCTTTCTCTCAGTATTAGTTCAGTCTTTATTCATTCATTTATTTACTTATTTAGTTAGTTTTTCCAACACTAACCTGAATTCTCTGCTGGGTTTCCCTTCACTTTCAAGCCATTTATCATATATGCCACAATATTGTCTGGCTGGATATCTTATCAGCAGGCAGAAAGAATCTCTCCTGGGTTCCTAAATAACACAGTTTTATTAGATAACTTTTGTTTTTGTGTAGCTTTTCACTTTCCAAAGCAGTATTTACACATCATCTTATTGGAGAACCTTATGAAGTAGGAGGGCAACTATTCATTATCGTTGTCATTTAGGGGAGTGAGGTCCTGGGAAGTGAAGGGACTTTAATGCCCAGTGGCCAGTCAGCCACACATGTCCTGGATGCCCAATCCTGGTTCTGGATGCTTTCTGCTATGCCATGCTGCCTTATATATAGATGAAAGTTCTATTTCCCTTTTTCCCAAATGAGAGAAGAATATGAGTGAATTTTAGTAAAATTAGAATCCAGTAATACAATAGTGTAAATGCTTAGATTAAGTTAGCTTCTAAATAGCAAGCATATTGCTCTGTTAAGCTAGTGGCTTTTTTCATCATGTTGGTGGGAACAACCTTTACAAAGCTCCTATCCTGAAACCATTACTTTGGGGCTAACTTTTGATTTCTCTAAATTTGCCTCATCTCTGCCAAGCAGAAGGGGTGATACACCAAGGAGGGTGCATACAGAGATCAGAATATGTACATGATAACTGCTGCACCCACCTCAGTTCTCTGGGAATCTCACCATGGAGAAAGGGGGGGCATAATGTTAGCATTCCTTTTAGAGATCAACAGGATACATCCTTCAGCATCAACTGAATGTTGAATCAACTCATTAAGTAGTGATGTGTCTCATCCATCCATGTCTTTTCTACCCTCCAGGGAATACAGAAGCAGATTTACAAATGAAGAGACGGTGTCATTCTGCTTGAGGGTAATGGTGGGTGTCATAATACTCTATGACCACGTACATCCAGTGGGAGCATTTGCCAAAACTTCAAAGATTGATGTAAGTTATATTGCTTTATTTAATTCCAAACTATTTCCGTAAGTGGAACTCATAGGCGTTCATTATTTTAAGGGTTTATTATTATTATCATTATTTTGACAGAGAGATAGCAGAAGTAGGCAGAGCAGCAGGCAGAGGGAGAAGCAGGCTCCCCGCTGAGCAGGGAGCCCGACATGGGGCTCGATCCCAGCACCCTGGGATCATGACCTGAGCTGAAGGCAGCTGCTTAACCGACTGAGCCACCCAGGCGCCCCTCATAGGCGTTTATTTAAAAGAGCTGCAGGTTGCACTCTGTCACAGACCTCAGTTTTATAGTTTCTGATAATGGTGGGCTTCTGTTGCCTTTTGTCTTGTGTTGGGTTTTTTACAGCCATACACAGTGGAGTAGAACGACCGGAGGACAGCTGCAGTCTTCTAGCATGCCTCCTTGTCCCTCTTGCTCCTCAGCAGTCCTGCATATTTGGCAATATAAATAAATGATTAGACATAAGAAATTTCCTTTCGTTCTTTGACCAAAGGCCATTTCAAACAAAAGATTTATTTCCAGATGTACATAGAAAGTCAGTAGAGGTGCTCCTAGTGAAAAAAGACTATATAATATAGATTTTCTCCTCCCTCGTAATCATAATAATTTGTGGCTCTAGTCTGGGTTCCCACTTTGCTTGTCTCTATAGAAGTTCATATTAGGAATAAAGCAGGCTCCTGGTTTCTCTGTTTTGTAATTTCTTTCCTGACCCTGTTCATCAGAATTATAACCAGTATTTGGTGAGAATTGTCTTCCAGTTTCCTTTTCATAGCTAGCTCAGGCTCTCGGCATTTTGTGTCTAGATTACTGATGGCTAACCAGCCTCCCTACCTTTCTTTATTCATGTCCATCCTCTGTGAAGAGAAATGAGTTACCATTTATTGATTACTGTGTCTCAGGAATTTTATGCTTGTTTCCCACTTACCTCTGAAAATACTCCTAAGATGTAGACGTTATTTCCTCTGTACTAATAGAGAATCTAAAATTTAGGGAAATTACATAGTATAATCTCTAGTGAACTGTGGAGCGGGATTTTGAACCCACATCTCCATGGCTTCCAAAGCCTGTGCTCGCCTTTTCTTTTCTTTTCTACTTTTTTTCTTTCTTTCCTTTCTTTCTTTTGATTTTATTTATTTAGAGAGAGTGTGCGCTGTAGAAGGGGATTGGGTAGAGGGAGAGAGAATCCCAAGCAGACTCCACACTGAGCACAGAGCCGGATGCAGGGCTTGATTCCAGGATCCCGAGACCATGACCTGAACCAAAACCAAGAGGAGGACACTCAACTGACTGAGCCACCCAGGCGCCCAAGCCTGTGCTGTTTCTACTATACGTTTTCACAGTCGTCAGGCTCATCTTCCTTACATACCATCTTTGCTAAGTTGTTCCCTTTCTATAGCCTGTAACAAGTCCCTACCCCATTAGTTACAGTTGAGTCTTCCTTGGCTTGTGAGGCCCTCTGTAGACTCCCCTATGCTAGTCATTTCAGCCTTGCAAAATTCTGTCCTCAGCATGTGGTGAGCTTTATTATTTTTGTCAAGGTGTTTGTCTACTTGGAAAGGCTCCTCTGTTCCTTGGCAGTGTGTCCATTCTGTCTTCTCAAAAGCTGCTCCACGCCTGTTCGGAGAAGTCGTCCCTTAGCCGACCCTTCATTTTCTCATTCGTGTGCGTGGTGCTTCTGTTTGACCGATTCAGTTCTTAAAAAGTTTTGTTTGACAGAGAAACTGAAAATGACATTTGGGTAGATTTTTTCCCCTCTTTTAAGAAGATTTTGACATTTCGAGAATGTAATTTCTCATCAGTTCCATAGCTGGGCTAATTTAAGTACTACTGTTTTGAGATAATGAATGTTATATGAGAAAACAAACATTTTTATCTTTTCTGTTTCCTTTTCTCCTTAGATGAAAGGTTGTATCAAAGTTCTTAAGGACCAACCTCCAAATAGTGTAGAAGGTCTTCTAAATGCTCTCAGGTGTGTATATGTACATGTGCATATGTATAGAAAAAAATCTGTAAGAAAATGCTTCAAAATGTGAATAGTACAAAGGAAATATATATTTCATATTAGAAATGGGAAGATCTCATTTTGCTTACTGGCGATTTTGCTTTCAAATACTGGTTACAGTATTTTTACAGTAAAGAGAGCGTGCGTGTCGGGGGGGTGCAGTCACATGAAAATAGCAGCTTTATTTCTTTGCCAAAAATTTTGGCTTTCATTTTTTTATTGTCTTGGGATGTTTACTTTTTAATTTTTTTAATGAATGTACAACATGCTAACTGTAAATAAAATTCAGTAAACATAGGAAAATTTAAAGCAAAATAAGGAAATCACATGATCTCACTATTTTTGAAATAAACCGCTATTAACATTTTGATATATAGTCTTGCAAAGCTTTTTCTTTACACTTGTAGATAGTCACAGCTCTGTGATGCTTATCTTTTTACAAATATAATACCATAAAAACACTTCTACGAAAACTAGCTCTTTTCCCTTAATATAGTGTGATTACATTTCTAGTTTCACAGATATGTTTATTACTTTTGTATATTTCTTACAGAATTTCTCGTAATAAAAATAAAGCAGTTATTTGCTGTCTTTTCTCAGCTTAGACCGACTTGATGTTGTTACTGTAGCTCCTAAGAATGCTGGAATTTTTTTTTTTTTTTAAAGACAGGCTTCTTTTTCTTTTATTTTTTTAAGTAAGCTCTGGGCCCAGCATGGGGCTTGAACTCACGACCCCGAGATCAAGAGTCACATGTTCTGCTGACTGAGCAGCCAGCACCTCTTGAAGGCTGGAATATTAATTAATTAATTAATTAATTTATTTATTTATTTTTAAGATTTTATTTATTTATTTGACAGAGACACAGCGAGAGAGGGAACACAAGCAGGGGGGGTGGGAGAGGGAGAAGCACGGGGGGTGGGAGAGGGAGAAGCAGGGGTCCTGCGGAGCAGGGAGCCCGATACAGGGCCTGATTCCAGGACCCTGGAATCATGACCTGAGCTGAAGGCAGACACCTAACGACTGAGCCACCCAGGCGCCCCTGCTGGAATATTTTTAAATGCAAATTTCAGCATACTATAACATCTTGGACTTACAGAGATTTAATTTATAGTATAATTTCCCTAACATAAAAGAGAATTTGCTCATTGCTCAATTATTTTGTGTTTAAACACAAAATTACACAAGCACAGAAATATTTCTATGGAGACTTCTTGGGGTCACAGGCCATTTTGCTTTTCACTGTAGTGCACTGTAGTTCACATGATACACAAAAATGATTGCCAGTTCAGTATTAAATTTCTCACGTTTAATGAGCAAAACAGGTTGTTATTCCTCTTGAATGCTTAGTCGCACTTGGTGCATCATAAAGCAGAATTCTATGCTGTATCATTTCAGTTGAACCGTCAAATGATTTTATTAGGATTATGAAAAGTATTCTGTAAGCAGTGACTACATGAGTAAAGGAGGTCAATTCTAAACAAATATAAGAAAGATTCAGGACCATAATATAACAATAAAAAGCCTCATAATGTCAAACTATTTCAACCATAAGCCTACAGAAACCATAACTTTTGGGAATTTTTTACTCTGGACGTTTTTACAACATAAACCTCATTGGTTTTATCCCTATTCATGGTATTGTGAATCTTTACCACTTGACCCCTTTCTGAAGACTCCCTGGGTCCCAGTCAGCCTGGGTTTTCTCACAAGACCCTTCTTTCTTACTGGTGAGACATTGTGAAGCCAGCCAGTGACAGGAAACCTGCTTTGAAAAGGAAGAGGGAATCAAAGTCTAGGAGGGCCTGGTGTTATTTCTTTTTATTTTTTATGTTTTTTGAAATTTTTTAAAAAGATTTTTATACTTAGAGCACAAGCAGCGGGGGCATGGCAGAGGGAGAGAGAGAAGCAGGCTCCCCACGGAGCAGGGACCCCGATGCGGGGCTCTATCCCAGGACCCTGAGATCATGACCTGAGCCGAAGGCAGTCATTTAACTGACTGAGCCACCTGGCGCCCTGGGCCTGGTGTTACATTTCTTTGCCTTGAAGGGACAGTGCTCCACACATTAAAAACTCAGAGTTTGCTTTTGTTTTTCAGAATTTAAAGGTAATTGGGCCTCTTCTATTCTATTCTAGAATTAGAGCAGCAGCGGGCAGCGGGGCTGAGAGGTGGGATTGAAGTCTCACATGCAACAACCTGTGTTTGAGGGAAAGGGGAAGTAAAGCACCACTGAGGCAAGAGCCACCTACCAGTTTTCAGTTTTCGTTTCACGTATCTAATGGAAAGTAGAAAATGGAGGTTTTGTTGCAGAGATAAGTCTTGAACTGTTTTTATAAGTAGTGAACGTGTTGTGTGTCAGGTTCTTACTTTTTCACCTGGGAAGTTTTGTAAGGTTCATTGGTACACTTGATGCTTTATGGTAGTGGTCACAATTAGTAACATTTTTATATCACTGTACGTTCATAAACAGTTTCATATGTATGACTTTATTTAATCCACACCACAGCTCTGTGAGGTAGGTGATGTATATGAGGTGCTGGGGATGTCTCCATTGTACAGGCAGTTACCTTGAGTTCTTGAGAGACTCTCAGATCATATAGCTAATAAATGTCGGTATCTGTTTTCACATTCAGGATTTCATTCTTAAAATCCCATATGCTTGATGCTATATCATTGAGCCTTAGGTTTCCTACATGACTGAACTCTGGAGTGCTTTGGAATAACTAGGAAGGAGGTGAAAATGCAGATCCCCAGGTCACCATCCCCCAGAGAGTCTCTCTCTTAGGTCTGGGGTGGGGCTCAGGCACCTCATTTTATAAGTAAACACCCTAGCTGATGTAATGCAGGCACTTTGAGAAACACTGCTCAGACTAAATCACCGTAGCTCTTAATGTGCTTCACTTTAAGAGCAAAGGAGATACTATTTAAAAAGCATTTCATAATCCCGAAAGTGCTATGCAATTGTTGTTACTTACACCTCTACAGAATGGGAGATACTTTTGTGGAATTACTCTCTGAGTAACTGCTTTACTAGAGATGCTCACTCCATCATTTGCCTCAGAGCCAACAGTTAATAATTAAAAAATTTTATTTTAATTTTTTTTTTTTTTTTAAGATTTTATTTGTTTGACAGAGAAAGACTGCACGTACAGGCAGGGGGAGTGGCAGGCAGAGGGAGAGGGAGAAGCAGGCTTCCCGCTGAGCAGGGAGCCTGATGCGGGGCTCTATCCCAGGACCCTGGGATCGTGACCTGAGCCAGAGGCAGACGCTTAACCGACTGAGCCACCCAGGTGCCCCAATAACTAAAAAATTTTCAGTGTTAATTGCGTACACATATATATGCTGTTTATTTTGAATGCTTCTCCGTAGCTATTATATATAGTGCCTCCAACTTACAGTATGTGATTACAGAAAAGCAGCAAGTCATGCCTACATTTTACAGGTGGAAAAATGGAACCAAGGGCCTTGATTATGAGAGAGCAAGCTAGAGCTAGGAGTTAAGATTCAGTGCTAGATAACTGCATTCTTTATTAAATTTCAGAGTAAAGGTAAATAATGGTTGATTTTCTTCGGTAGAAAAGTCATAGCACTCAGAGGAACTTTAGTGTTATGCACAAAGTGAGATAATGCCATATGTGTCCATATGTTATTTTCATACATGTTAGGTGTTCCTGCCCTTTCTGCTCTTCCTTTCTTTTCTTTTTTCTTTCTTTCTTTCTTTCTTTCTTTCTTTCTTTCTTTCTTTCTTTCTTTCTTTCTTTCTTTCTTTCTTTCTTTCTTTCTTTCTTTCCTTCTTTCTTTCCTTCTTTCTTTCTTTCTCTTTCTTTCTTCTTTCTTTCTTTCTTTTTCTTTCTTTCTTTCTTTCTCTCTCTCTCTTTCTTTCCTTTCTTTCCTTTCTTTCCTTTCTTTCCTTTCTTTTTCCTTTCTTTTTCCTTTCTTTTTCCTTTCTTTTT